CATTTTTCCTAATTTTGGACTTATGCCACTTATCAATTAAGGGGCTCATATATTGTAAGAATTTTATTTTAAGTCTTAAATTATGTTTTAATTATGCGTAACACATTAAATTACTCTAATACTGAAGAAGGTCTCATTGAAGACCGAAACGTCTATTAATTGTTAGTAATTGTACTTTATCAAATATAATAATTTTAAGCCAACGAAATCAGGCGTTCGTGGTCATATGCCTTTATAATCATATTGTTTTATATTCGTACCACGTATTTATCTTATATTGTATATTACATACAGTACAGGTAATAGAAGTCAACGCTAGTTATCAATTAGCGCAATTCTTCTTAATATTAAAAATATAAACCTTGACTCTAAACATTTCCACTCATGATTTGAGTCTTCATCAGCAATTTTTCCCCCTAGAGCAACGGTTGGAGTATTGCATAACAAAATAATATCTCCAACGTTTTTCCTCTCAAAATTAAACCGTTAACAGTTGTGAGGTAAGTCACATACTCACAAAGCTGAGTGGCAATGAGAACTCAAGCTAAAATTATATAAACAATTAAATTATCGTATGTATAATTTGAAAATTAATAATCACCTCACCTCACCTCACACAGTCGACGTTTCTACACTGAACAACAAATCTCGCTTATGCAACATTTTGTAACTCGTTAGTATGCTAAAAATTATCGTCGAGTTTTAAAATAATAACTGCGAGAACAATATGACTTGTCATTTCGACAGTCGATTAAATAATGATTGCTAAATAAGTAACATAACGGTCAATTTGAAGATAAACAAACTAAAGTTTATGACATGTATTGTATTACGAACAAACCTTACAGTTTATTGAGAATCTCAATGTACGCATGATTTAAGCCAACGATATCATGTTGTAGATTTAGCCCATTAATCTGTCGATTAATGTGCATCATCTCCGATATTAACCGTTTGTTATAATAATTCTCTACATCTAAAATATCTATGTTTTGCCAACCAAAGTCATGATCGTTTTGCAACCTATGCTCTGGAATCACTGAATGAATGAATGTTTGACTATGGATATGCTTTTGGCGTTCAGAAAGTCTGGTTTCTAATTTTCTCCCTGTTTGTCCCACATAGGAAGCATATCGCAATCACAACAGTAAATCTTGTAGACTACGTTCCTTTTTAATTCATTATTGAAAGAATTTTTATAAACCTTTATAAATTGATTCAACTTGTTCAAACTAAAAAATGAAACCCTATGCAAACCTCAATAATTGCATTTTCGAATTTATTCGATATCTCTTTTACATATGGTATGAAAAATCATTCACCAACCTTTCATCGGTTTCCATTCCAGAGTGTGTTCAGTGCTTTTTACAATTAGGTGAAAACTTTTCTCTTCCCATTAATTATAATAGCAAATTAATTTTTGAATTCATAAAAAACGTTGAATTTAATATCAAGAAATTACAGACGTCGTTACACAACTCAGTTAGAAATAATTCTATTGCAATAATTAATAACCCTTTTTCTCTCAAACAAAAAAGGAATTTTGTTGTCAAAAAATTAAAAAAAGCAACACGGTTAACCAAGCAATTTTTAAAGGATAATAATAACATTATTTTCATTAAAGCTGACAAAGGTAACTTAACGGTTGCACTAGACAAAACCATTATAAAAGTTAAAACAATGCTTGATAATGAAGACGCATGAAAATTCTTAAGGATCCTACGAGTAAAATGAACAATAACTTGAGGCAATTGTTGGTAGGATGGAAAAAACGAAATTATATTTCTGAATCAACGTACAGACAACTTTATTGTAGCGATGGTAACATTCCTAGGGCTTATGCGTTGCCAAAAGTGCATAAACTAAATTGCCCATTCAGAATCATTATATCTTCTTTGGACAGTATACATTATATAATTAGGCAGCGTTCTTACATAATTGATTGTCAAAAGCATACCTAAAGCTGCTAGTAACATCGAGAATAGTTTTGAATTAGTTCAGAAATTAAAAAACATTAAAATTGATCATGGATTTAGTTTGGTGTCGTTGGATATCACTTCTTAACAACATTCCAACGGATCTAGCATTAGATGGGGCTTTATTTGCAATTTACTGAAAAATGAATTTCTTAAAGCTGTTCACTTATAGCGAATTCGGTCGCTTGCACTATATTAGATTAGTGCATACTAAAAGCTGCTTTACATGAAATTAACAAAGTTAAATGTAAAAGTATATAAATATTTTTAACGATTAACTATCTACTGATGATATAGTCACGTTATTTAACAAAATATATATGTATAATTTCATTGTCAAAGTTGATTATATTGTATCACTGCATTAAGATATTTTATGTAAAGCAGCTTTTAATATGCACTGATCCAGTGTAGTGCGAGTGATCGAATTCACCATTAGTGTTCGATTGAACTTATTTTACTTTTGACGATCAATTTTATAAACAAATTTTTGGAACGCCTATGGGTTCACCGCTTTCTCTGATTGTTGCTAACTTAGTTATGATGGATTTGGAGAATTGGGTGTTGAGCAATGTTCAATATCATACACCATTTTATTATAGATATGTAGACGATATCGTTCTTTGTTTACCGAATTCTAAAATTGATTCTATTCTCGAAAAATTTAATTCATTCCATCCAAAGTAACAATTCACTTTGGAACTGGGTGGTAATTCTATCAATTTTATGGACACAACCATAATTTTAAAAAATAACTCATTGATATCTGATGCATCAAAAACCAACGTTTTCGGGCAAATTTTTGAATTTTTTGTCTCAGCACGCAATTTCGCAAAAGAAGGACATAATATTCAATTTTGTAGATAAAGTTTTTTACATCTCACATCCAAATTTTCACAAAAAGAATCTTGAATTTGTTGTGAGGATACTTTTGGAAAACAATTATCCATTAGATTTTATATTCGATACTATTAATAAAAGAGAGAGTTAAAACATTAATAAATAAATTGAATTCTTGTTCAGCTAAAAAATCAAATAATAACTTATCTAAAGAACTGGTCAAATGGTTTTCCATATCGTATTTAGAAGAGATATCGAATAAATTCAAGAATGTAATCAATGGGGTTTGCCATAGAGTTTCATTTTTTAGTTTGAACAAGTTGAATCAATTTATTAATTAATAATAGAATGTAACGGCCTATTACGGTTGGAGCTGGATCTTCGTTGCTTTAAATAATTCAATCTTGAATTACTAATATATACTATAT